GGGATTGTGCCTTTTTATTATTTTGTTTTCTGTTAATCCTCACCAGAGGATATTTTTTCCATTAGTTTTTAGAAAAAGAGGGAAGGAGGGAGGGAGGGAGGGAGGGAGGAGATAGGTGAGTGATCTTCATCACTCACATGATATAAAGAAGGCAATAAATATCCTTTGAATAAAACTAACCAAATGAATGAATGAATACATCACGCTTTTGTGATCATGAACACTCCAAGTCAAGATAATCACATTAGCATTTGCATGCAAGCAATCCCACAGTGAACAGTTCATCTTTTTAAATGTTACTCTGGTGATTTTTCTTATTTTAAAAGAAATGGAAAAAGCACAACACAAAACTATGAAATAAAAATGTATTTGTTTTCAAGTTCCATTCCAAGTAACAAACAGCTGACACTGAATTAATGCCTTTACTCTGGCCCTTGGACAGGCAAACTGCCTCTTTCCATAGTTGAACACAGCAATGAACTGAGTACCAATAGATCCCTGTTGATTTGCAGAATAGGATAAAGCAGTTAAGCCCTGAAAAGGGCATTAACACTTTATCCCTACTGCCAATCAAGAAATCACCCAATTTCCTGCCTCCCGCCACCCCCAAGATAAAAATAACATGGATATAAATTAGTCCTTGTGCAACTCACACTTACAAGAATCAGGCATGATCCTTGGCAAACTAAATCTTTGGCTATAATCCCCCTATGCCTGGACAAGGTTTCCCCTGAAGGATAACCTAAGAATGCAGGAGTGTTGATCTAAAAAGCAAGCTGGCCATTGTAAGGCCTAATGATTAAGGTGACTTTTCTCAAACTGAGGTTTGTGGCTGGTTGGTTGGAACACTCTATAAAAAGGAAAAGGACACACAGCGGGGAGGGGAGAGAGGATCCCAGCCTTTGTCTCCTCCTTGTGTGAAAGGCTCATGCTTGTTCTGAGGTAGGGCAACCCTGACAGTGCAGAAGGGAAATGACTGATCCCCCAAATGTGCTATAAGGTATAGCTTCCAAGGACCCTTCCCTCAGGCCTCCGAAATGATGACATGTTCTCAGGCCAGCCTTAAAATACACCCAGCACTCATTAAGCCACCGGAACTCTACACTGGAGTGAAGCAAACATCTTAAAGCATATTTTCCATCAGAAACCCATCTTTCCTCATAGGATCTTTCCCCATAGGAAACCCATCTTTCCCTGTAACGGAGAGTAAGTTAACCTTTAATGTTATATATACAGCTTTAGAAAAGGGAGTGGTGTTTTAGAGGCTGGCTTAGTCAACTCTCTAACTAATAGTAACCCTGAGCTTAAGGGAAGGGAAAACATTTCTTAATAATATCTAGTTTTGCATATCCCATTCCCCTTAAAAAAAGAAAAATGATGCAAGGGCATTTGTTTATTTCCCTTTCCCCTTCTTTCAAAGAAACCTGAAATGCCCAGGCATCATGTGATTCCCTGACAATACCTCCACCCATCACGACTTCACCAGAACACTAACTTTTCGCTGGTTGGGCAGTGCAGGCATGTGCTCCAATCTGTGCAAATACACCCTTGTTTCATGGTGTTCCTTATTGTTGTTGTTCAAAGCCTCACACTCTGGGAGAGGAGAAGGGAGGAAGTCCAATAACTTTTTAATGTATATCTATCTACAGAAATACAATATGTGGGTGAGGTGATGAACAGCAGTGGGGGTTACAGTGTGCACGCATAGTGAGAAAATAAATTATATTTGTCTCCCTGACTCTTTACTGCCAGCATTCTGCTCCAAGGGACCTCAGAGACCAGCTGGCTCCTCCAGGTGTCTTCCCATGAAACTGGAGGATGACAGACGAAGCACACAGGTCAACATCTAGGAGAACCCAGCCTTCACACACAAATGAGGTCTTTAGGCAAAAGGAGACATGAGGCTCAGGAAGCATGTCCCAGGAGGCATGTCCCTCAGGGCAAGGCCAGTCTGACAGCTCTGACGTAATCATTGTTACGTCAATCAACCTCTGTTACGATAGAGTCGGTTCACGGCACGGAGGGCAGGGGCGTCATCTTCTTCTCCCCCTTTTACAATCGAGTGAGGTCTTCCGAAGGATCACCACCCCTTCCCATTACTGGAGGCCCCTCACGTGGTTCTACTTTGCTTTTAAGTCCAAGGGTGGGATTTATCCTTCCAGGGGAATAGTCGTTCCTTTTTAGATCTGCAAGGAAGACAACTAAGATGGTTATGTGGATCCTCAAAAGCTTGGTGCTCACACAAACTGAAACTGAAGCTTTCCCAAGTACAGCACAGTGCTGCCTCAAGCCACTGATATGTGAAACTCAAACCCTCAACCACGTCCGAACCACCTGCCCCGTGCCCACGTGTGACTCGAACCCCGCAATGCTGTTCTAGGCTTGTACTCACTGGGGCCAGGGAGGAAAGGTTTGGTTGCTGGATGCAATGAAATGCCCTCTAAGGCACCATGTGGCTGGAATTAAGGGAGGCCAAACTGGAAACAGGGCATTGCACCACTGAAAAATAGGCAGGGGCAAGGAGTTCAGCCCAGACAGTGACCTCAAGATTTCAGTAGTCAGCTTTCTACAACAAAGCTGTGCTCAGGGTGGCACTGACTCTGAAAGCTTCTTCCATTTGAAAAGGAAATTAGCAAAAGAAAACATTAATAGGGATAATCTTTGGGGAGAAATGTATGGAAGAAAATGGGCTTTCAATGTATACCATTTTGTGTTATATTAAATCTGTTAGCCTTAAACATATATTCTGTGTATTTTTAATTAAATAGGGATTATCTGGCCCGGCCGGAGTGGCTCAGTTGGTTGAGCATCATCCCAAAAGGCTGCCCATTCAATTCCCAGGGGCACGTGTGGAAGACAACCGATCAATATTTCTCTCTCACATCAGTCTTTCGCTCCCCCCCCCTCCTCTCTCTGTCTCTCTCTGTCTGTCTGTCGCTCTCTCTCTCTCTCTCTCTCACTAATGCTCTTTTTCTCTATGTCTTCCTCTCTCTAAGTATGTCCTCAGGTCAGGGTTTTTAAAAATGGGGATTATCTGGACATAAAAATAATTCAAGTTAAAGTTTAATAATAACCAACAGTTATTGGCATATCCATATATTACCTCATTCCTCACACCAACTTTATAAGCTTGGTGCTTTATCCCATGTATGGATGAGGAAACTGAGTCCCAAGGTCACATCTTTGTAAGAAGCAGAACTGGAATGTGAGCTCAAACTATCCAGCCCACATTCGTATACACTATCCTAAACTCTGTCTTTAAAAATAAGTAGATATGTAGATAGATAAAACGTTATCAAGCAAAAAGAAAAACCATCCCTATTCCTGTATTCCAGACTAAACTTTTTTTAATTCAAATAACCAAATAATTCAATAACTGAAGATGTTTCTTATTTTCACTTAAAATGTGCTAAGGTTTTGAAAAGAACCATGGATAAGGTCTAGAGATGGAGGAATTACTGAATTACTCAAAACTCACCAGTGTAGGTGTTTTTTGTTTGTTTGTTTGTTTTTTATATATTTTATTGATTTTTTACAGAGAGGAAAGGAGAGGGATAGAGAGTTAGAAACATCGATGAGAGAGAAACATCCATCAGCTGCCTCCTGCACACCACCTACTGGGGATGTGCCCGCAACCAAGGTACATGCCCTTGACTGGAATCGAACCTGGGACCCTTCAGTCCGCAGGCCGACGCTCTATCCACAGAGCCAAACTGGTTAGGACACCTGTGTAGGTTTTTAAGAAATGATCTCCACCTTAATCATACAGAACAGCTAACTGGGCTCAGGGGAGGAAGCAGTGAGTGATGCCTCAAGTCTCCCTTTTCCTGGCTGATCAGATGTAGTCCCTATGTCTGCAAGAATGAGAGGTACCTGGTCCAGGGTACAACGAATGAGACCTGGGAAGAGGCCTGCGCCTGAGGTACTGAGTTAATGGGCCAGACTCCAGCCTGCAATCATGGGCGACTCAGATACATGTCAGCACCTGCCTCCCACAGGACCCTCAGTCCTGCCCAGATCCTTCCTGGATTCCTTCTGACCAGAGAGGATGCCAGTGGGCAGCTCAGCCAACGTGCTGGGGACTGATCTCTTTGCCCAGGTCTGCTGTGTAGTTTGGGAGAGCGAGTCCTGGGCAGCTAGAAGATGAGAGTGACCGCCATCCCCGCTTTGCTGCTCCCATCTGACCTCCCTACCCCATGTACCACCCCGGCCACCGCCTCTGTCTAACAGGCTACTTCTCACCGGAACTGGAAGCCTGTTCCAATCCGTCCTTTGCTATTTGCCCAAAAGAGCATCTTGACAATGTTCTACTTCTAACATGAAGATTAGAAATTGCCCTTTTTTGTTGTAAATTTACACCCACTCCATCCCAAGTTATAGTGGACGATAATCTTTTACTGCTTTCCAATTCAGGATATGACCACTTATTAGCAGGCAGGAAGGGATGCTCTGCTTAAAATAGGTGAAATTCCATTTTAAGGGCAAGTTTGGTCTGATCTACGGAAAACAGTGAGCAAGCTGAGACAGACATAAAGTGTCCCCTCTGAGATTAAAGGGAAGAATGAGACAGAGCTGGGCTGCCACGTGGGGAGCACAGACCTCCAGCTGCTTACTTTCATGTGAGGCACACTTTCTGTGGTGACTATATTGGTTTCAGAAAAAGTGTGTTATATTAGCAAATGATTTAAGATATATACCTGTGTGTTTAAAGTGGTAAGTTTTTGTGGTGAAAGGCACTATTTTAATTGTAGCTGTGTTTCCCTCCATACCTCACCCTCCCAGCGTCCAATGAGTAAATAAAAATAGAAGTCCTGTGGGCACCACCCAGGACCCAAGGGTGGGGAGTGGCGCAGAGACCTGCCTCAGCCCACTTCTCCCCCAATTCTTCTGTAGAACTTTCCCCTTGGACAGACCGTGACAAGTATTGGGCCCAGTGTTTTATCGCATTTTGGCAGAACCTGGAGTAAATCCCTGTCCTTTTAATCCCTTTAGAGACTTGAAAAAAATCTGCAGTCAGAAAGTCAGGCCTCAACTGGGAAGGAGATAAAAATGTGATTAAGATTTGCTACTCTCTCCCTGGTTACAATGGCTGCTGTTCTATGAGAGCTTTCCTTAGAAAAAGGTAGAACTGTCTGGGGCATACCCGGGAGTCTGAGCTTCCGGCAGCAGGCGTTGCAACGATGTTTTGCAATGAAGTTCCTAATTGCATCTTCCCCTAAGTTGGCTGGTCCAAACACCATTCCTCTGGATCTGGAGGAAATAATCAGAATATCAATTAGACCACGGCTAAGAAAAAGGAGCCCCGCTAGGATTCTCGGAGGTACCGAACAGTCTCCCATAGTAACCCAGCAAACTTGAGGGAGGCAACAAAGAACAGTGCACTTTGAGGAAGCAACAATGTTAGGTTTGCAAATTTAAAATTCAAATGCACTTAAATCTGTGTCCTCAACTCCAAGACCTACTGTGAAACTCATTTTAGCACGAATCTGATAGAATAGAAAAGTGAATTTTCTACGTACCACGCTAAACCAAAATACACTGAGACCCCTTTTAATGCGTATGGGGTGATAGAATGACAGTAACTGCCCAATGTTCTACTAGAATCCCGGAAAGGTAAGGTAGAAAGTTAATTTGCTATTGAAACACACCTTTTAAAAGGATTCATATATATTCTTTCAAACCCAAATGCCTTTCTAAATAAGACCATGTCCTGGAAAACAACTGCCAGACAAAACCCTACATCAGTACAACTGGCTCTTTTGGGATCTGCTTTCTACCCTGCAAACCGCTGCGCTGGGCTCTTTGTGGAAAGACAAGATTGCTGTGGTTTTGTGGAAGCAAACTACATATGCCGCGTGTAGGTGACAAAAGTCACAAACAGAATCGGTACATATCTGGCACATTTTGAATGCTCTAATTATAACAGATCCTCCACAGGTTCCAGGACCAGCGTTCATCCATTATCAGATCACGCACACCCCTCATTCCTCAGGCTGACAGTCGGCACGCCACGGAACACAGCGCACAGAAACACTTCCAAAGGAACTTTTCGAAAGCTAATATTTTATTTTAATGACATGCAGAGTGGAAAGGGCACATGTTAAAATCTGAACTCAATTACCGCTCTTAAATACCACGTCTTAAGAAAAAATAAAAGCCAACTATCACAAAAGGAAACAATAAACTTTGCTTCTAAGGAATGCGGTTTTTCAAAAGGGACGGGGTGTAAAAATGGACTTTTTTTTCCATCCAAGTATTGAAACATTTATCTCAATTTCCACTTCCTTTTGGCAGAATAACAGTAGCTGCTCTGAAGATGTGCCAAGCTCAGAATGAGGGCTGATGTCAGTTTGATCTCGGATTGCCTCTTTGCTCTGAGGCGAGTAGGTGGAGCAAATCTCTTGGGAAGACAAAGTGAACAGGCACCCAGGATTAATTTTCCTGGTCACTCAATCGCCCTTACAAAGGACCGCTCTTGGTGGTATTTGCCCGGCTGCATAAGCTGCCTCTTGTTAACTATTCTTCTTTTTCAGTCCATTTGGTAAAAATAAAAATAAAAATAAACACTTCAAATAAGGTGAAACCAAATGTGGCAACAAAAAGTAGAATCACTCAATATTGAGTGCCAGAACTCTGTTATGCCAATAAAGTGAAAAATGATGGTGGTTTCTTTCAGTCATTAAAATGGAAGAATTCCTTTCATCATCTCTCCGGCAGGACCCTGTTGGGATATTTCCCTCTTGCGCATTCCATACCTGCTACTGCTTTCCTCCCAGAAAAACAGGAAACCCCCAGCTTAGACATGCAACCCTGATTCTCAGATGAAAACTGTAAGCTAAATCATTTTCCTCTATGAGCTCTGTGAAAGTTAAGGCAAAAGAATCAAAATTACCATAGGAATTGGCTCCCTGTGCGGGGTGGGGGTCCTGAAGGAGGGTTGTAAGGACATTCATTTTATCTACCCCCTAAAGCATATTTATAACCTTGCAATTTCAGATAATGGAGTTTTTTAAAATATATTTTTATTGATTTCAGAGAGGAAGGGGGAGAGAGAAAGAGAGATAGAAACATCAATGATGAGAGAGAATCATTGATCGGCTGCACCGAGCCCACAACCCGGGCATGTGCCCTTGACCAGAATCGAACCTGGGACCCTTCGTTTCCAGGCCAGCATTCTATCCATTGAGCCAAACCAGCTAGGGCTCAGATATCAGAGTTTTAAAAATAAAAATAAATAAATACAGTTGCTTCCCAGGTATTTCACAGCACAAGACAAGCAGGTGGTGGCTTGATTTCATGTGTAAGGAAACACTAATTAGTGCCACATACACACGGATTTACTGAAGAATATCTCATCATCATTTCAGACTTGTCAAATGCCCAAATGCATCAAGGCAGTAAGTGAAAAGATGCAATCCCAAACTACCAACACCTGAGGCAGCCTTCGCCGAGGCTCGTGACCTGAGAAACCAAGAGAGGTAGCCAGAAAGGACTGGGGGTAGGGGTAGCGGGGTGAGGGAGGCCTGATGACTTTATCTTCACATGCAAAAGGTTGGGGACAGTTAAGAGGCAGCAAAGACAGTATCAGAATCTGCACCACAAAAACATCTTCTCTTTCATGGACCCTCCTCCTGGTGGGCAAGGTGCCATCTTCCCTGAGCTTCAGTGAACTGGGATTGAAGCTGCTTACCCCGACCATGTTCTTAAGGGTTAAATAAACAACATGTGAAAGCAGGTGCTTAAACTGGTGCTGCCCAAACTCTGATGACAGTAAGTCAGCTCCCTATTGCTGGAGAAGAAAAGCGCCCGGATCCTTTCAGGATTAATCTATTCAAAAAGGAAATAATAGAAAAATACTCAACATGCAAAAGTCTTGTGAAGAAAACGAAGGAAAAGCACAGAACATGCCAAAGGCCGAGGAAGACCACCTTCCAGAAGATATACCACAGGGGGCAGAAGGCAATCCTCCGCCTTCCGAAGAAGGTGTCAGCCAGGAAGCAGGAGGAAACCCTAGAAGCGGGCTGGCTCAACCTGTGCAGGCATTCAAAGAGGACACTCCCGTTAGGCATTTGGGCCCTGAAGAAATGCTAAGAGGAGTAGATGAGATGGAAAGGCATCCGGAAGACATAAGAAGAGTAAGAAACAAGTTTGTGATGATGCATTGGAAGCAAAGACATTCACGCAGATGACCTTATCCTGTGTGCTTTAGGCCTTGAATTCTTTTTTTTAATCTGATAGTAAAACCTGGCGCCTGCTTTCTGTTAGCATATTCTGATGTATCTTTTACCTTCCTTTTACTTTTTTAAATTTTTTTTATTGATTTCAGAGAGGAAGGGAGAGGTAGAGAGAGATAGAAACATTAGTGATGATAGAGAATCATTAATGGGCTGCCTCCTGCATGCCCCACACTGGGGATCAAGCCCACAACCCAGGCATGTGCCCTTGACCAGAATCAAACCCAGCACCTCTCAGTCCACAGGCCAACACCCTATCCATTGAGCCAAACCAGCTAGGAGACCTTTGTTTTACTTTTAATCATCTGATAGAATTTTGTTTTAGATAGTTTCCTTGTTAACCGGCATCTTACTGGATTTTGTAATTTGACCTATTCTCCAGATCTATTTTTCAATGGGGAAGTTTCATACAAATGCATGAAAATAGGTTCATTCCATGTTGTAAAATAACATAAGTTGCAAAGCATATTTAGTATCAGCTCACATATGTACAATAAAAATCCCAAATTGTGTGTGTGCGTGCCTGTGTGTATACATACATACATACATACATCAAAAAATTAACTGTGCTTATTTCTGTAGGGTGTGAGTTTTCTTTTTGCTTATATGTATTTTTTAATGAACTTGTGTCACAGACAATTAAACTTTTTTAATAAGTAAGAATGAAATAATTTGCAATCAGCTTATAAGGGCAATGGGGGCACCCAAACTCTTGATGACATAACTATTAAAATGTAAACCTCAAATCACCTCTGGATCTCATAGCCAGAGGAATAAAGCTGGCAATTACTACAGAAAAATAAATAAATAAATAACAGCAAATCGGCTTAGGATCTTGTGAGAATTCAGATTCAGGTTCAGGGGCTCTAGGGAGGGCCTTGAGAGTCTGCCTTTCTCACAGTGTCCCAGGTGATGCGAACGTGACTGGCCCGTGGCCCATGCGTGTGCAGCCAAGGTTTATCAACACGCCGAAGGCATCCGAAATGTGAGCCTCACTGAACTAGTTCAGTGCAATCTGCCACCGTGGCAAAAAAATAGCACTTCTAGTTATCTTCGCCATGAGGACCAACTGCACCCAAAGCTGGGCGACCCCACAAAACCAGGCATGCTACCAGGATGCTGTCCCATCAGGTTCCAGAGTTTCTATCCTCGAGTCATAAAAAATAAAGTCTGCCATAGACAGAGGTTCCCAACCCTGACTGTCCGTTAGATTCGCATGAGGGACTTTTAACAGAATGCGGACACCAGGGCCCTCTCCTCAGAGATTCTGACTTGATTCCAATGCTGAGCAGCTTATTTTTTAAATTTCCCCAGGTGACCTTAATAGAAATTGAGGCCCACTGGCCTATAGAATGCAATTAAGTACTCGACTGTCAAGTGGGATAATATAATCTTAGGATTCTAAAAGATAGCACTATTCAGGTCATATTAAATGACATATCCAAAGGTCAAAATTTAATAAATGACAGAGTATACAAAAACTTGGTTCGTTATATGCGCAACTTTTTTTTCACTGCAAAATTATACAGTACTTATGGTACCGGGTTCCTACTACAAGCCCATGAGCACACAGGGCTGCTGAAGAAATAATATTCTTCACTAATAACACTTTCACTCTGCTAAAGTGAAAAATAACAAAGCCTTTATCTGTACCCTGAAAGTCACAACATGAACGGCATGGTCAGATAGCACAGGAACTGGATGCAGAGGAGCAGCAGGTTCACCTTTATGGTCTCCAGCTCCCACCTCAAACACAAAAATAGCAAATACTTTTAGATGGGCCTCTGCATAGAAGCTTACAGATCAGACCATAATTAAATATACTTTTTTACTGATTTTAGAAAGGACGGGAGAGAGAGAGAGAAAGAAACATCAATGATGAAAGAGAATCAATCATTGACGCCCCCTACTGGGGATCAAGCCCAAAATCCAGGCATGTGCCCAGATGTGACCTTCTGGTTCATGGGTCAATGCTCAACCACTGAGCCACGCTAGCTGGGTGAGACCATATTTAGATTAGATTACTCCATAAAGCAGTAAATATTCACAGTATGAGACCTATGGGAGGGAAGTAAAATGTTCAAATTTTATTTTATAAGATTTACCACTTATGCAATTATATATATATATATTTGTTTTTAATTTAAATTTTTTTTTTTTACAACCCAGAGCCAAGTATAGACCCTTAGGACAACTAAGAAATAACAACGTTGTATGTTAGCAGTTCTCCAGTGTGGTCCCGGGTCAGCAGCACCACCAGAATCATCTGGGAATTTGTTAAATATTTTGGCCCCACCACAAACCCACTGAATCAGAAAATGGGCTGGGGAGGCTGGAGGCTGCAATCTGTGTTTTAACAAGTTCTCCTGGTGATTATGATGCAAGCTCATGTTTGAAAACCACTGTCGCCTGCCATATTGATCAGTCCTTAACACCATCACTTCTTTCTTTCTCCTCCACCTTCAGCAGAACAACAAAGCCTCTGATCCTCTACTGCCAAGTCTTCCCAAAAGTCTGGTTAGGGGGTAAAATACCACGGAAATTCAAAGGACAGGCAGATGACCCATCCCTCCATATAATTTAAACTTAGGCTTTAATTAACAGACAGTCTGATGCTCCATATTTAAGCCCTAGTGTTCTGACCCCTCACAGACTTGCCAGTACTGAGTAGTGCACTTTCTGCCCCAACCTTCATTTTATAGGCATGTGATGGAAGACGCTGCCCATGAGAAGATGCAATGGCTCTATTGTGCGGACAACAAAGGAAACTGTGCTTCTCCTATGACATTAATTGTTTTTATGTCAAAGCCTAGAAAGGCTGCACCAACCCATAAGTCTCTTTTGTCTGGGTCACTAGAAAATTCAGAGTCAAGTCTGCAACAAAGTTCTAGCTACTGCATTGGCCTTTATAATTTCCATTTATGTGTACTAACTTAACTCCAGATTTAATCTTATGTTATTTCCATATTGTCTTTTCACCCCTATTTCCTAATCTATGCTTTCTTTAAAATCTTATTGTATTTTCAATCTTATTGTATTTTATTGTAGATAGATATAAACAAATATATACATACACATATACAACATAGAGAATAAAGAGATGGATATGGATAAAGATATATAGATAAAAGCAGCCTCAAAATCTTCCTAGGATCTAGGCAAGAAATATAAATGTTTAAAAATTATTTTTAAAAACCATGCACATTGTTAAAGGCAATTTTCTAAAAGATAACATAATAAGTTAACTTACTGTTTGTCTTCAGGTTTTATAACAGATGGATCTGTCAGATTTTCTCCAACACCTCCAACGAAGAAAGAAAATTCACTTAGCAAATGGGAATTTCATTTTCTCAGATTTCCAGAAAATAATCATCAAATTTTAATACTTTCTTTAAACCCCTGTCTATCCTGTAACCAATCAAACAACATGTGAATTAACTGTACTATAAAAATTGTCTAGGTATGTGGGAAAATTTTAGTTAATGCTGTCTCCCCCAACCTCCTCTTAGGCTATTGTAAACTTTTGGCCCCAAGTGAATGTTTTAGGGGTGTGTTCACAGTTATTGATAGTAACACCCATCATTCATTTACTACTTATATGTACCAGACATTCTAATTTTATTTTCTCTAATTCTTAGCAATCATGAAAGAAAAGTATTAGCATCCTCATATCCTCATTTTACCAATGAGTTTGTTGATGTTCAAAGAGAATAAGCAATGTGACCGAGGTTACACTGTCCACCTGTGGTGCCAACAGGACTGAAGCTGAGCCAGAGCGTGTTCCTGGTCTCCTGAAGGAGTCCATCGGTGCTCGGCAAGGTGCAGGGCACTGTGGGGTTCTGCAGGTACAACCTGTGCTGCATCAAAGATACCCATCAAATGCTACATATAACATTTAAAAACAGTAGGATCCAAATGCCCCCAGATGCTTGATTTGGGCTGATTACACCTGTGTTCAGTTGTTAAAATTCTTTGGGATATATGCTTAATACTGTGTGCATGTTCCTGAATATAGTTTGTTATTCTTTTTTTTTTTTTAATCCTCACCAGAGGATATTTTCCCATTGATTTTTAGAGGGAGTGGAAGAGAGAGGGAAAGACAGAGACATATCAAAGTGAGAGAAACACATTGATTGGTTGCCTCCTGCACACACCCCAACCAGGGCCCGGGCTGGGGAAGAGCCTGCACCGGAGGTACATGCCCTTGACTGGAGAACCGAACCCATGACCCTTTGGTCCGCAGGCTGACGCTCTATCCACTGAGCCAAACCGGCTGGGCTCTTGTCTACTAAGCCAAACCAGCTCAGGCGGTATGTTATTCTTCAACAAAATTTACCTTTTAAAAAATGACACCAATGCATAAAAGGATAATGTAAGTAACTTAAAGCTAATATTTATCAAAACAGAGATGGATCAACACCCAAAGCGAATCTCTGTTATAAAAAGGGAGTAGTGAGGAAACTGATTTCCAACACAATGATGTTTCCTAGGCAAGCTGATCAGACAGGTGAATGCACAATTCAGAGATTTCTCCTCCAATCAGCACTTTGCTTGGAAAAAAACCAACTTTGTGGGAAAACTATTTTTAAAATATTATAAAATTTGTAACTATTTTAAAAAAGAGTTTTGCTATATTCTGTATGTTTTAGCCTATTCTAAAGCCTTCACAAGAGAACATAATCCTTACAGTTTAGTGACCTTTCCCTAAAACACTGATTTCCTTAGGAAAATCACTTATGTAAGTACGGGTTTTTAAGCCTTTTTTCATCATAACCCCCTTTTTGTTAGTCTGATGAAGCTAAGGGACTCTTTTCTCTGTATAATGTTTTAAAATGCATAATTTAAATCTATAAGATTATAAAAGAAACCAATGATACTGAAATAAAGTTACCAAAATATTTTTAAATTATTGTATTGCATACATGTACTTCTTTATATGTTAAGTAACAGAATCTAGCACAAGTCTAATAACTGTTACACCATCCAACAATAAATATGAACAGTTTTTTGAGATATCTGCCAACACATGTGCCGTGTTAATATCTGTAATTGTTCATGCTAATACCACCATCATAATGAAAGGAAATTATGCATTTCAGCTACCGGTTAGTGAAAATAAAGGTGCAATTTTGTTTTCCATCAGAGTTCACAGACCCTCTGAATTCCATACAGGGATGTTTTAGGACCCCTATCATAGAGTCTCTTTCTACGCTGGTTTTGATTAGGGCAAGAGAAAGGAAGGCTGAAACACAGGCTTAAGGGCAAGTGTGCACAATGTGCTTTGCTGATATGAAGAGCCCCGGCCTCTTCCTAAGTGTTTTTCTTTAAAAAGTCATAGGCAGAGGCTGGGCTCTTTATGCTTCTCTTATTCGGGTATAAAAAGGAACAGCCTAGGGGACCCTGCTTTTTGAACTGTGTAGTGAATAAACAAAAAGACAAACCAAATGATATCACAAGTACCACCAGTAGAGAGACTAAAGGCTACAAATCCTTTCCATGTTAAATTAAGATCTAACTTTGAGCCTGAAAATGCCAGAGCTGATGAAAGCTGTAGAATGATATCTGAGTAAACTACAAATTTAAGCTGGGAATACTCACAGTGCCTAAAGAGGGCATATCAACTGGGGGGAAACAGAAGTTGTATAGGGAAAAATTGTCTACCGAAATCACATCAGTTCCTGTCTCCTTTAAATCTTGTTGCTTGTTACATAGGCGGCAGGTCAAAGGATCTGGTTCCACTCACAGTCACTTCACTTTCTAGGTGGTGACCTGGTCACCCGGGTTAATCTCTCCGAATCGAAGTTTTGTCATCTGAAGTGTGAATAATATCGAGCCTTATCTTATGCTAGTAGGGTTACTGAGAAGATTAAGTGAACTATTATATACAAACCGCTTAGCAAAGTGTCTGACCCAGAGGTGCTAAAAACTGTCAACTGCTATTTTTATTATCTTAATTCTATAAAGACATTTTGTGAAGTAAAATTCTATTTCTTTTATCCCATTTCCCTAAAGGACTATGTTTTCTAATGAATAAATTCCCCTGTAAGAAGGTGGGTTCTATATCCACAAAACTGTATATCCCTACACTCAATCTGACCATTCAAAGCTTGACTATAATATATTTGGGGGCCTCCAAATGGCAGGAAGGGCATTGCAATGTGTGACAAATAGAGAGCAGCCCAGAGAACCACTCACGCTACACCACCTGCACCACCACCACCTACCCTGCCTCTCCTGATACACAGGAATTGCCCAAAAGGCAAATTTTAACATCGGTGCCAATCCTACCCACATAGTCTCCTAGATATTTGAAAACATGGGAGGAAATAAGACATTTTCATATTTTAAAATCCCAATGATATATCTTTACCAGCTCTAATAGAGTAAATGCCCGTTTATAAGTCATATGCAGCATGCCCTCATGAGAAACCCAGACACGTACATTCTGATCCCAACCACCTTGGGAGACAGCAGTGAACCTCTCCATCTGTGGAAAGAAGTTCCCGTCTCTGTAGCAGCAGAATTTTATGATGATGACGTTGATGCTAATGTGGACTTATTCCGGAAACTGCTTTGTTGAATTAAAAGAAAAAAAAGATCTAATATCTCCAAAAGTTCTTTGAAGAATACAATGAGCTTTTAAAAAAAATGTTCCAGACAACTGTAATTTGAAATGCAATTGTATTTAATTCCCATTGCAGGGAAAGAAAAGTTGGATTTCAAGTGTAATGATGATGATTCAGGCCCTCACATGTAGGGTTTTTAAATGGAAAGAGAAGAGACGACTACAGTATAATTACATGACTGGAAATCGGTCAAGCCTCTCCTTAGAATTCAGCTTCCTGGTCTGGGGCGGCAGCTCCTGGGTTAATGACTGGCCATCCCTTGGAAGGAAGGAAGGGGAAGGGTGGAATAATCCTCCATAGTGTTCCTCGTTTCTTCTCTCCCTCGGAGCAATAATAGGAAGGCACAGGAGGCTGACCGGGGCTTCACCAGCATGTCAAACTCACGCTAGGTCTCTCTGCAGTACCACTGGGACCACACCGCTATGGACAGACTATTCACAACTGAAGAGTCACTTCCATTTTAAAGAGCACACGGAGGTCAATACTAACACAACAACGACACTTACAGAGGGCTTGCTGTGTGTCAGGAACTTGTCTCATTTCAACCCCTTAACTGTCCTATGAGTTAAGTGCATATTATTTTCTTCAGTTACAAATGAAGATGCTGGGACTCAAAGTGGTACCCTCTGGTCACACACTGGTTTGTAGGAAAGCCAGGCGTCAGACACCAGCACTGAATAACTCCAAACTCCTCCTACCTGCTGCCATTGGCCTCTCCGTCTCCATTCCCCACCACCCGGATGATGCACATCATCTCTCCAATGACTGGAAATACTCATCAGCCCAACTAAACCCAAAACCATTATGATAGTTTAAGAAAACATTATGTTCTTCCTATTTTCCCTTTCCAACTAGAGCAAAATAAGTACTTAGTAAATGTTAGCTAGTAGTATAGGTACTATAACTGCTTATAATTAGTTTTAGGATTTGTGTTCTTCTATAAGTTCAGGCCGAACCAATTGGCCAAAACTCTCCAGTAAGTATCTCAATTTCTTCACATTCAATCTATGATGTCTTCTCTTCCCTTCTTTGAAGGTCAGTGTTTTGACATAGTTTATTTGGAGTGGCCTGTTTCTGCAATTCACATAATTGCCCAGTAAAAGAATAAAGTTAATTCCCTTCTCCCCCCAACACGACCAATGAGACATTTGTTCTGTTTAATGTCACTGTGGATTACTAAGAGACATAAAAATCCCCAAACATAAACATCATTAAACAAAAGCCTATTCAAGTGGAATACAAAACACACTAAAGAGTCATCATTAATTCCTTAAAGTTTTTCTTTGGTTGTTTTTTTTTTGTTTGTTTCTTTTCTTTTTTTCTTTTTAAACCACTCCACCCAAAACTCAAAGCACAGACACTTAAGTGCAGATGAAAAACATCAACCTCTCCCAAACATGAGCTACCAAAGCAGATGTCTTGGGGATGAGCATGCTGGGCTTACATGGATCATGGATTTGCTGGTTTAAAAGATGAATCATCGTGACTGTTTTAACTTTGTTTATACTGCTTCCTAAAATATTGTGTTTGAGGGTTAGAAACATAACCTGTGAACAGCATAGATCTAAAAGGACAGAACTTATGTGTAGTTTAAAAAGTAGATACACACTGTTGGGCACATGGCACAATTTTAATCAAAATGGCTTTGCAGTATTACTAGACATTGCTCACAATGCCCAGGATTGCCCATTTCAACTGTCCCCAGTCTCCAAATCTGGCTTTCAGCACAGAATCCCAGGACTGAACAGGTGGGAAAGTGAGAGAACAAGAAATAGGCCCAAGCTGCTTAAATGAACCATAGCACGATTAAGGATAGAATAGATGGTCAAAACAGCTTAAGTCTGCATCCTGGCTCCCCCATTAAGTAGCTGTGCAACCTCAGGCAAGTTATTTAAACTTTCTGTGCTTAAATTCCCCATAATATCTACCTTGAGGTACTGCCTCTAGGATTAAATGAGATAACTTCTATGAACGTTCCTGATCTAAATCCCTTATTTAAAACCAAAGCCCCAGTCAGTGAGCCAAGGGATTAAACTTTGACCTTAATTCATATTTCGTCCTGTCCCTGCAAGGAAAGCCTGCTCGAGACTCTCTGTTTCGTGCTGCAGGATTATAGGTCACGCGTGAGGTGTTGATAGTGCGAGATGCGCTGATCAAAAGCTTTTTTCCATTCAATAAGAGTTCCTTACACCTCCTCAGACTGAGTCTGTACTTTTGTGACTGTCATATCAAGGCACACAGCAAAGAGAGCAAGCTAATTTATAAATTGCTAAAGCAATGAGCTCAAAATCATGAAAAATGCAGGGAAATTAAACTTTCCTGTGTGTATAAATGCATACCTAAGTGTTCTTGTGAATATAAGTCCAAGACAAAGCCATAAACCTGGAAAATTTGGTGCAAAAGTCAATCTCCCTTTAGATCAAAGTTTTAGCTGTTGATGTTAGGCAACTAGTCATCGGCATATATTTTTCCCTAGATCTCGGTGGGAATCGACATAGTAATTGCTCGTGATCATCATTGTGCAATGTCTGAAATAAGTGGCCCCGCCTCCCTTCAAAACTAAATAGAACAACTCCATTCATTACCCATCCCAGATCTTGCAAGATCTCTTAGGACACCTATCTGGTTATTGCCACTTAGAACAGTTTCACATATAATAAATAAAATCGGGAAAAAATAATCATCTTTCAGTTTCCAAATTAAAGAAAAAAAGGAATGCCATGGAATATCTCCATTGAAAGACCTTCACCATGGCTTTGAGTAAAGAAAGAGCTGAGGTCAAATGTAGGTAACCATGACACGGAGAAAGCAATCCCTAGTCAGTGTTTCCTGAACTTGGCCTCATGCTTGTTGTATGAAGTTCTAGGGTACCAATCACCTTGCAAATCTAAAACCAGCAGTTCTCCCCGAGTATACTCATAGGTCCAGTGAGAGAAAGCCAACATCAGCTCCTCCAAGGTGTTGCTGGGGGCAATTTCATCGCCGTTGTTGTTGTTGTACTTCTGGAACTCCCCCATCATGTACTTCTCAATGGTGAACCACTGGTTGGTGGAATACCAGTAGATTAAGAAAACTTCCAGGAACCTACGAGGAGGCAGCAGCAAAGGTGGGACTTACATTACTGAACAGTCAGCAGCAGGAGAGATTACCTAACTCTGGTCTGATGCAGGTCCTTTTCTATGGAATGCAAAGATTGAGGGGTTTCCCACCTCCCTTTCTTTCAGGAAATGTCCCAACTCCTTTATGAGTACTAAACTCAAGTTTCCCTACCATGTGCTAATAATATTCCTTGTAAATTAAGCGATAAAATTTGGCTATAAGTCCTTAGCACTGAATTATGATCTGTCTTGCTAAATGAATGCAAGTGTATGGAGACATGCAAGTGAACATAATAATGGTTCATTCTTTAAAGTTCTTAATTTCTATACAATGTTAGTGGAAAAAAACTATGCTTAAAACAGAAATGTTTTTTGGCCATAATGTTCCTGGACATTAGTAACTACACCGGGATCTGCCTGCTTCACATAGAGAGGTCAGTCCTGGCCTCTGCATGAACTTCTCACCTCCACTCACACAAGTTCAGTGATTTCTGCGCCCCTGGGCTGTCTAGTTCTCTTTTACCAGTCTCCAGAAGTCTGGAAAGAAGAGCCTAACAATGAAGTCTTGGAGAACTTCTCCGTGAGCCTTGTACTTCTCAGAAGAGGCTGAGAAGAACTGATAGAAATTCCTACTTAACATGAAGGGCTGGGGTGCCAATTATTTCCTCACCTTGGTGCATAGGGAATGGTTTGTGGTTTCACTTGATTGAAGGTATAGATTAGTTTTTGAGCAGCTCTTTGTTGTTGAATTTCCTACAAAATAGAGAGCATTCATCAAAATATTGGTTTATTATCACATGCCTACTAATGATCACAGAATTACTAGAGACAAGTGTAATTTTCAGCCTTATTCAACTCCTATCACTCCCCACTCCAAAAGCAAAAGCTCTACAAAACAAAATTAACAAAAAAACACCACCTCCAAGAAAGAATAGGCTGCCCAGTCAGTGTGGTTCAATGGTTGAGTGTCAACCTATGAACCAGGAGGTGACAGTTCAATTCCTGGCCAGGGCACATACCCAGGTTGCAGGCTCCATTCCCAGTAGGGGGCGTGCAGGAGGCAGCCAATCAATGATTCTCTGTCAACATTGATGTCTCTATCCCTCTCTCTCCCTTTTCTTTTACTCTCTGAAATCAATAAAAATATATTAGAAACAAAACAAAAATAGGCTATCCTTTGGGTTGAAGATAACAGCCTTTGAAGTGTAGCCAGATCTCCTTTCTTTGGCCGGTCGTCTGGACTCTGGGTGTCTGACTTACCCTGAGGCAGAGATGCAGCACAGTGCTGTCCTGGAAGATTTTGTGCCATGTCTGCACAACCTCAGGAAGGAAGGACTTGACAATGAAAACCTGCCCCGGCTTGAGAACGTCATCCTCAGACCAGGTGCTGATGACTCTCATGGCTTTGCGGAGGCCGCCGTCCATCTCCTCTCGGGACAACACCTGGATCATCGCAGTCTTCCCGCGCTTGGACCAGGAGGACATGCTTTTGTCGAGATTCAAAGGGGAACTCTCCTCCAGCCTGTAGACAGTTACTTCTTCCCCAACTGCAAAGAGAAGTGTAGGTGAGGCGTTCAGTGAGATCTCTGGTCTGCGATATGAAGGACATCCTAAAGATCAATTCAGAATCAGTTCAGTTTCCCAAATAATCAGAGGAGAATAGAATGGCACCGATACAGGAACTGCTGGAAAATAAAGACATGGATTTGGCCATGTTGTTATGTTATTTATTATCCAGTAACGAGGGAGAGGGGGAGAAGGGACAAAGCATCAGATGCTACACAAGAATGAAGCTGTTCTCATTATAGACTATATACAGCTGGACAGAATCAAAGTAGTTAAGACAAATACTTCTAAAGAGATAGTTTAACCCCATGTTTTTCATTATCATCCCCCTTATAAACATTATTAGACATTTTTTTCTAATTGCCCCTCCATGACATTTTAATACCAAAGATATACTGTATACCTGTCCTTTATACATAAAAAGAAAAGGATGTCTTTGCTCTCTTGGGGATATCATCCCTGTTGAGAATGCATAGTCTAACCCCGTTGAGTTATACAGAGTCAAGGTCATACCTCAGAGACACTCCCTCCTACCTTTGTTACTTGAAGCCTTACTTCCTTTATCAGTACAATGGGAGTGAACGTAGCACTCATCTCTTTGGGTTATGAAGATTAACTATGTTAATCTGTCTAATGTAAGCTAGAACCTCGGCTACAAACTCAATCCCACTTAAAAAAAAATATAGACACAAAATGCTCTTTAACTGCTATATAGCTTCCAGTTTCAGGCTGATGAACAGGCAACCAGTCCTACCCAGTCTAAATCCCATCTAACTGTAATATTTAATGCTTCATAACAGAAGTAACATATTCTATACACAACTTCTGCCCAACCTGTGTTTCATTTTCTCCTTTCACCTCTGCCTCAAATGGCTGTGTGTGTGTGTGTGTGTGTATGTGTGTGTGTGAACACTGTAACTAGTTTACCAAGAAAGGAATCTATTTGCTCATTCTTGCACTAAACTGCTAACTAAAACATATGTCTAGTAAATGCTTAGTAACATATTTTCAGTTATTTATTCTTAGTGCCCAGATAAATGCCCCTTGAATATCTCTCTGGAGTTGGAAATACCGAGAGGATTTAGAACAGTTACTGGGTTGCAAAGCCAGCCATGGAGCCAAGGGGAAGGAGAAGGCCTCTGCCCCACAACCAGAAGCCGCACGGGGACGGAGAGGAGAATCGGCAGCCAGGGGAGTG